TCACTTCACCACTCGAACTTAGAACAATTCCACTCTAAATCCTTTCTTGATTGCACCATAGAAATCACACACTCGGAAATCCACCGCTGGAACTTCACTCCACAAAAAAAGCCTTTCAAGGGTCCATCGCGTGCAAGAGATTCACAAGAGAAAAAGTCTCCTCGACTCAAATTGAGGGCTTGAGAATTGAATCGGCAGAAGAACTACCTCTAGTGTAATCGCGTCGCTCATCTTCGTAACTATTCCTACTACTCCGCTCCAAAACCTAGAATCGAAAGAATTGAGGCGTAGGTATGCCACTACATGTCATAACCATGCTGTTCGGACTGGCACGGCCACGCTAGCCTTGTGGCATAAGGGCGCCATATTTACAGTACTAGGGTTCCTTTGCCTCTGCCACTGCTACTGCATCAACCCAAATAAATCATACTCCACACCCAACAATTCGAACATAAGAATTAAAATTCATATAGATCAGCAGTTCTCTATTCTCTAATTCCCTTATAACCTAATGGGATAGACGCGGAGCTGCTCAATCATTAGTTTCATGCATAAGATAGCATTTTGGTCATTTTGTGTGACAAATCTATGCATGCAAAGATATATTTAGATTTGTAAAAGTAGATGATAGTGGCAATTTTGATGTATAATAAAGAAATGAGTGCTTTGTATACAAATATCAGAGTTTGGGTGTTAGATATGTAAAAGCATTGTTTTTCCTGGAATAAAGGGCCTCACTTTTCACCATCCAATGGCTTAAAAGCTACCCCAATTCCAGTTTATTCTCTTTTCTTCCAATTATTATGTTTGGTATAAAGTACACAAAGGAATGTGTCTTCCCCATTTTGTCAGTTATATATAAAGAAAATTTTGCAGTACTTGGTCGTGTTATAGCGCTTCACTGCAAATAAAATAAAATTTGACATCAGCTTAAACTTGCTATCCTTATCTATAAGTGAAATATATATGTCCAAGACAAGGGGCATTTACATATATACCACCCCATATATATATATATATATATATGTATATATATGAATTAATGACATTTTTATTATATTATTATGAATTTTCTTAAAATATTTTTACCTTAATTGAAGCCACTAAGTTGATATCTGTACTTCCTAAGTGGCTGCTAAGCCAACAAGTCGTTAAGTTCCTTAGCAGAGGTCGCTGTCTAAGATTAAGATTAAAATTCTCACATTCCAAAATCATGTCACTCCTTTCTAACTTGTTTACCATCCTCTCCATTATTCAATGCGACATTTGCTCGTCATGTCCAACCAAAGCCAATATATGCTTATGAAGAATGCTCATATACAACTCATGGTTAGTATTTTCTGTAAGCTTTAATCATAAGCAAGCCAAAATAACCTCAGTAAAGGAAGATGGCAACAAATGATAAAAAAGAAAGGAAGCTCATATTGACATAGTTAAATCACTGAATTATTCCCGCCTCAAGAATCAAACAAGACATCTTTTATTTTCTCTTTTTTATTAATTTGTAAAAGTAATAAAAAAAATAAATGCCTTAGTTATTTTATTCTTTTGCAAGTTACTCTCCAAACAAATAAAAAAGTATGAGAAACTAAATATATACAAAAATATGCAAGTTCAAGGTAAGCCAAAATAAACATATTGAAAGTGTTAAGAATCCAAGCTACATAGCATTAAAGTCACTTTCCCAATTTAAAAGGCCCAAGCTCGAAGGGACTCCCGTAGTTCAAAAAAGTCAAGCTCAAATGCCACTTACCTATTTCAAGGAAATGAAGCCCCTAAGATTACTTACTTAAGCTCTCAAAAGTATCTTGAGCTTTCAAAATCACTCACCCAAAACATTCAAAGTACTTACCTAGTTTAGAAAGTCCTAGCTTAGAGTATATCTGTTTAATTTGAGGGATCTAAACTAGTATAATTGTTTAAAGAATGATAATCTTTTCATCGTAAGACTTTTAAAGCACATGTCTTGGGTTAATACTTCTATTATATTCAGATCACTCTACTAAATTGCCTTTAAAATATATTTTATGCATCTATTTATCAGCTTCAAATGTAGCTTCTTTGCAACATCCAAAATTCTATAAATATAAAGTTAAAGGGTCACATTAAGTTGTAATATTCAATATTTTTTATATTCTATTGAAATAATAAAAAAAGTTCAAAGTTTTTTACTCACTTTTACTACCTTTGTTCTTTCTATTTACCTCATCCTTGGTTTAGCTATAGATATACCAAAATGTCATATATTCTGTGAGTAGGGGGGTCATTACCCTTATGGTCCACATAGAGGTTTGAATTCAACTATTTCATTTAATTAATTTTAGTTTTAAAAAATATTATTCTATCACAATTTTGATAGATGCATAATAAAAATACACCAAATTGCACAAATATCTTCTTAATATTTTATAGTCGTATGCACGCTACACAATTCTTATATAATTATATAGCTAACACCCAAAATCTAATATTTGCGAAAATAACAGTTTGGTGTTATCATTATTTCAAAATCTATACTTGAAGAGGTACATTTTACCTTTGAAAAGTCAGAATTAGTAGATTTTTTATTATCATATATTTTGTTTAAAATGTTATATATGTAAATACTTACAAGTTATGTAGTCTGTATGAATGTAAACCATTTATAAAATTAAGTTGGCACATGGATTCACATGAAAATTTCACCATCAAATTACTAAGTTTGTTAGAAAATTCAAAAAAAAAAAACCATATTTGTCATATTGATGGGATCGATACATAAATACACGAAATTTATAAGCCTGCGTAGAATTTAAGCTATGGCCCATATCATAATGCTTAGATTCCGAATTGTTGTTGGAGTTGTTGGGCTTTGTTCTGTGGTCCAATTGTGTTTATATTGATTTCTTAAATTATTTTATTTATCCCTTTTATTTATAAAATATAATTGTTTTAGAAATTAGTTCGTATTTTTTTTATGAAATTAAGACTGTAATTATGTCATAGAACTGAAAATTTTTATTGTTTAATGCTGAAAATCATTTAGAAGGAGAGAGATTTGATCATCTTAACTATAAATGGCATCTCGTGCAAGTATTTTTCACACAATAAACCAAAACAAATTTCCTTTTTATAAATCCTGGATTATTCTTGAATTATGTAAGGCTTTTAATCACGATCAAAATCCTATTTATTATTTTTTTCCAGAAAGCACAAATGCTAATCATGCTTGTAATGATTCCTAAATACTAAGAAATTAATTGATAACAAAGAATCATTAATGAGTTAATTAAGTTAATAATCAAGACATTAAGTTGAAAGAAATTTAAAGAGAGCATTTCCTTAAATTAATAATAATAAGCTACAAATGATGAATTTATTTGATTAAGCAATACACAAATTGGAATACTTGATGCGCTATGTATGTTATAAAACGTATAATTAAGCACATGCAGTTATAATTTGATCATAATTTAATTTGAGAAAAAAATACGTGTACATTAGAAACACATTAGCATTACACCCAATGAGAGCTCATTGACAGAAGACTATTAAAAGACTCACTTTATCAAATGCAACCCCTCTAAGTCAGAGCTATAGGCCGACCATAAATAATCCTCCTAGACTAAGGTCTAATACCAATCAAGCCTAGCAAAGACATCGATCTACCTCTCGTCATAGTTCAACTCAAAGGAAGAGTTCAACATCACAGACCATCTCACAGACGCCTTTGAAATTGCTTGTCAAGGACCAAGAATAGACCATGACGTAATTCACGGAGAATCCTATAGGACGCCTTCATCAAGGTGTGAGCTACTTATCAAATTACAATGATTCAACATCTACTCGAAAGCCTAGTCTCACTCTACTAACAAATGTTTTTTATCCAGGAACAGCAGTCAACAACTAGACAAGAATAGTTGGCCAACAAAGCCAAGCAGATCAAGTCAAGTATTGCTGACTCGAAGACCATTAAAAGGCCGAATGACAACCCCAATTAAATAAAGTAGGATGGGCAGACATTGTAGAAACAATGTTTGTTGAACCTCGGTGTTATTTAATAAAATACCTAAAATATCTTATAACGCCCCCAATAACGTATGAACAAACAAATAATTTCATATATTGAACCTCATTCTATATAGATAGCGGCATCATTTTGTTGTAAAGGGCTAATCACCAATTTATATTATTATTTATTACTGTGCATCTCCACCCTCTCTCTATCTCTCCGGCTCTCATATCTTAAGCTCTATTACTTGGGTGTGATTCACACGCAAGTTATGATTCAACACTATATATATATACTATATATATATATATATATATAAAAGTTATATCCATCTAAATCTAATTGGATCAGACCAATACCTAACTAGGGGCGAAATGAGTCAAGCCAACATGAGAGCTGGCTCGAACTTGGCTCGATAAGTGGCTCGTGAACTTAGCTTGATGGCCGAACAAGCCAAGCTCAAGCCAGCTCCGACTCAACTCGTTAACTCGTGAGTAGGCTCTTTTAAAAAATATTAACATAACATATATTCAAAATTTATTAAATTTCATAAATTTATCTTTGGACTATTAGAAAAATAAAATAAAATAATTTTTTTATAGTCTATTAAGCATTACTCTACTTACGGACACCCCATGCCTAACTACCACTTCTTCCCGCCTTATACAAACCTCTACGATGCGGCTTAAACTCGCCGGAAAATAATCTCCCTCACGAATTCTAACATTTATGATGACGACAACCATATCATCAGCACGCTTCCTATCCCCGTTGGCACCCGCTTTCGTGTCCTGCTTTCCCTCTCTCGACAAATATTACCTCCGGTAAAACGTAAAACTGGGAAGTGTTCATCTCTCCCTCACTCTCCACCAAATCTCACTTTCACCACCCAACAATACGAAAGAGTTTGTCCCCTCCTCTCTTCACGTCTTGCTATCACGCCCTATAAAGAGCAAAAAATGAATGCAAGTCAGAACTCAGCATTTTTATCTCCAGTTGCTTCGCCGACGTCCGAGAAGGCAGAGAAACAGAGAGGAAATTATGGGGAGGGGAAAGGTGCAGCTGAAGCGCATAGAGAACAAGATTAACCGCCAAGTGACCTTCGCTAAGCGCCGGAACGGGCTTTTGAAGAAGGCCAGAGAGCTCTCGATTCTCTGCGACGTGGAGGTCGCACTCATCATCTATTCCAACCATGGCAAACTCTCCGAGTTCTGCAGTAACAGCAGGTTCTGCTTTACGTCTTTATCTTATTGGCTTGATATGCATTGCATGCGCTCTTTTCTCGGGTTTCAGGCTGAATCAAGTCGGGAAGTCTTCGCAATTTTTCTCCTTTTATGTTTAGTTTTCTGTTTTGGTGAAAGTAGAAGGGTGCGGAGTGGTTTTGCTTGTTTTGGGGTTGGTTCCTCCTTTGTGCTGGTTTGCTTGTTTTTGAATTTTATTTTGCCTGCTGGATTTGGGTTTCTTTTGCTGTTTGTGTTGGTTATGAGTTTAGCTTGGCTGGTTCATTGGACTTTGAAGAATGGTTTTATGTGGAAATAGCAGAAGTTTGTTTTGGTTTAAAATAATAGATCTAAATCACTATTTGGTTTCTCCAGCTTTGGAAGTTAGGCAACTCTTGTTATTTCGATAAAAGATGTTTTCTTTTCTGTGTTCCTCCATATCAGATAAGCAAATCCTCAGCAGAAGAGCTGTGTTTTTTTTTTTTTCATTTTTTTTATTTGACTTTTCTGATCTATATTCTTAGTTATATGCTGAGAAAAACCTCTGAGCAGAAATATGACAGCGTTATTGTCTGGGCTAACCCTGTCCAAAGCTCGACTCTTTACTCTTTTTTTTGGCTCTGTTAGTCAGTACTGAACTTCTAGGGTTTGCCACTCCTTAGAAAAGGGTATTTTGGTTCTTGCTTAAGCCTGGGAGGGACGAAGTACCAAGCTGGTTCATTTGCATGGTTACTTTAACGCTCGGTTTTGAAGTCAAGCATTGATTTGTCTAGTACCTGGTATTTTTTCATGCCTTAGGATTTATCCTTTAACTTCGGCTTGAGGGTTGGAGTTGAAATTTTCTCTTTTGTAACGTTTTCATTGCAGATGTTCTTCTTTTTGTCTGTCTCAATAATCTTACCATCTTGATTTCGTTTCAGAAATTTCTATAACTCAGACGTTATGTCCACCTTGTTCGTTTACATTTAAACTTGTGCTGGAAAATATGTTTTAAAAATATAAATATTGATATTCGTGGTTGTTTCATAGAACATAATTCCATAAAATTGTCGAAGTTTCTAAGCTATTTCATGCCAGCTACAACATTAGAAATAACAAAGAAAGAGCTTGTCATCTGAAAGTTATACAAGTATCGCCCATATATAAATATTTGAATTGCTAGCATTTCATTGAATGTGTAAGATTTTTATTCTAATAACTTAGGAATCGAAAAAAAAATCATTGGGAATGATAGATTTGAACGGAATTTACTAATTTGAGGAAGATCATAATGAAAGGGAACTCTCAAGGCTTAAGAAAATATAAATGATAATTAATAGTATGTTCAAGTTTTTTTTTTTTACTAGAAGGGGAGACCATTGACCAAACAAGATGTCAACTTCAATAGAGATAATCTGTATTAGTGTAGATTTAAATAAAAGACATTTTTTAATTCATCAAAATTAGATGATTATATCTACTGAATGTATTGATGGAAGTTAGCATTCTTTTCTTCATATATTTAGTAAAAAAAATAATGAATGATTTGGCCATCTTTATTGATAAATTTTGATTGGGAAATAAATATATCAATGGAATTTTTGTCTTATTTATTAATGTTTTCTAAGAAATTTGTGATGTACATTACATCAGAACTTAATCAAGTAACGAGTTTGTGACAGATTCTTTTGGTAACCTATAAAAAAAATGAAAAATAGTTGGTGATTTGGAAGGTCAAACGGATGTCGATCTGATGAACTTATAGTATAATCGAGCGTCTCGACAAGACGAATTCAACGAGTCCAAAATCACTCAATTCTACATCATTAGGGTACTCAAATATCCATGAAATATCGTCTGATCAAAATAATATTTTTGGTCCGTCCGATCAAAGTGATTCATATTTTTGCGTTGATTGCACCTAGAACTCTATGAAAATTTTATAATTTATTATAACAAACAAATAGTTTTAATAGAAATAGTAATCAACATTGGCAAAAATTTTAACTAATAAATTCTAATTACATATCACAAAATTAATATATTTCATGGAATTAAAAAGAGCTAAACATAGAATAAACATTCATTTACAAAAAAAAAATTATAATATTATGACATAAATATGTTAAGAAAACAATAAAATATGTTTGTATTCCTATTAATCATAATTCATTTAAGTTTATTAAACACATATCCAATAGCACGACATAGATGCTTATCACTCTCACTACTATGTTTTTTAGCTTCATTTTAGTTATCTTCATACAAATAACTTAGCGATCGAGATTAGTGATGTTGAAAATCAACAAAGAACATCTCAATCATGTGTGCATACTCATCTTGTATAATTGTCATCCGGCCTTGGGAGTTTACAATTAAGGCACCAACTTGGGCCCTTTCCATTTATATAGAATTATTTAAATGTGATGCAATATTAGTTTATATATCAGATTTTGTGCTTAATTGTCCACCATCAGAGCTAATTTTAAAAAATCTACCATTTTTGACACCCTCAAACATAGTATTTAAAAATTAGGAGGAGCATGCTTCTATAAATCTCCAACTATAGATCTTATTTAATCACATAAATATATTTAATGTGGCTTCCAACCAAATTGAGAATTAATAAGAAGAGCCTTGATAGATTGCTCACTCACTCTTAGGTTGCATGGTTTTGATTTCATCTAATATACTTTTACTCCATATGGCATTATAATGCACCCTTGTTGTATAAACAACTCATGAAGTATTCTCTTAACATTAATGACTTAAAATATGAAGGCATAGTTCAAAGATAAGAATAAGCTAATTCATATATTAATATGAGAACAATAGTTTTGAAACATTTGAAACTACTAATAATAGAAATTATATTTCAACCGCTACCAAAAAATATTTTGATACATTCTCACAAAATTTACACAATTTTTTCACATATAGCTGTAAATTCATTCTAATTCTTCTTCATTTTATTTTTCATTAATGGAAATAGGTTTTCTTGAGAACTTTTTGTTGGATTCTAAGCCGCTTCATCACTTTTTTTGGGATTATTTTGTTGAGCGGATCACGCCTTGAGTGATTTCATGTGCATTTATTAGAAAATAAACTTGGAAGAAATATATATGAGAATGATTGTGAGTTTATTACATTGAACTTCTTCCCCACAAATAAGGATAGATGTTCATAATGACCTACTTTGATTGGGTGATAACAATAATTTTTTTTCTCCATTGTTATGTATGTAAGTCTTCCTAAATTTTTTCCTCACCAGGTTTTGCTTATGCTCTATCCATAAATGACATCTTATAATGAAAGTAAATGCTCATTTTTCATATTGCTTAACTTTTGTATGAACTTCAGTATGTTGCAAACACTTGAGAGGTACGAAAAGCATAACAATAATGCACCAGAGTTGAGCACAACATCAAGAGAGACTCAGGTGATCCTTTTTTCATAGGTTTTACGGCTATATGTTGCATGATTGTATTTCATACTTTATAGCTTACCATCATTAGTCTCTCTACAAACTAACTCTTTTATTCTCTACTTTTGAGTTGAAATACAGTGTTCTTCATTGTTTTATAATAAAATGTTTTCTTATGCCATTAAGTTTTGGACTATTTCATTTTGACATGGATGTTGAGTTCCATGCTTAATACTTGACAAATTATTTTGACTTCTTGGATGACATGAAATTGATATATAGTTGTGTTTATGAGTTCGCTAGATGGCTCCCTTCTGTGGGCAATTGCATTAGATAATTGGAGGGTGCCAACAGAAATGGAAATGTATTGAGTGTAAGAATAGGAAAAAATGAGAAGTAGAAGTTTACAGCAAAACTCTTATCAAACACTTCAAATTAAAACTATGTTTCACTATAAATATAGTGCGCTTACATTGTTTTCATGCTCCGCATAATTCAAAATATTATGGATATATTTTCATTAATTACTAAAAAGAGCATTTGTTTCATTTTTAGCTTTTATAATCTCTAATCACCATTTTCTAAAAAATTGTAGAGTATATTAGTTGCTTATCCAACACTTCTGATTCACACCTTCTTTGGCAACAACTATTAACTTTAATTATATAAAAAAAATATATTTCTTTTATGTTAAACCCCCTATTTCTATATGAATTCATCTTAATTATTAGTTTGAGGCTTGATTTTTATTATTTTGATAAATTTATTTTTTTAATTCATTGTATTCACATGATTTATTTTGGACTTGTTTTTTTGTTATTTATTTAATTAAAGAAATAATGCAACTTAAACCTAATTTGTGAAATTAATTTTTATTTGTTTGCTTATTTTGCTTTTTTTTCTAATTGCTTGCTAAAATTCTCAAATATTTTTTGTTCATTCATTACCAACTATTCTTAATTTTTTGTGTTGCCTATTTTCCTTTAAGATGAGCTTAAGAAATTTATAACTTGTGTTAATTGTATACTCTCCTATCTTTTTTTTTTCTTTTACTTTTTTTCCTTAAATGAAAATTACATATCATATTCATTCAATTTGTGAACTTTCATTCTAAATATTTCTATATCAACTTTAGTTGCAAGCATCGATCCTTAATTTATAATTGTAAAATTTTCATGCACTTATTTAATTTTAAATGTTCACTGGACAATCCCAATCCCCTCAAATTAATTGCAATACTTAAATTATGATAATTGCATTGTGCAGTTACCAGAATAAGTGAAGAGGACTATACTTTTGGTGCTATATAACAATAATCTTGCATACAATTATGATTGCAAAATCCAACAGCCTAATAACCTGTGATGTTTAGAGGAGGGCAATTGTATGATTTCAAATGATCTCTCAGTAGGGTTCTAGCAAGTGGTCTTGTGACCAAGCAATTCCAATAATTAATGGCTGAATTTTGGGGTATATGCCCCTTTATTGTTAACATATATAATAAATATTTATACTAATTACAATTTAATGTTTCTAATATTTAAAAGAAAAAGGTGTTTGAAAAAAAAAATTCTTAACTTTCTGCTAATAAATTGAAGAAGTTAACCCTTTTGCGAGTTCATTTTATTACATGAAGAACAACCTTTGAAGGAAGCATTTTCATTCTACATGTTACTGAACAAAGCAAATTGTGGAGCACAACTTGCATGTTTTTTTAACTACACTATTAGTTAAAGGGTAATATATTTATTCACTCATCTTATCCATCAAAATATCATGGCAAATAATATGAAATAATTTTATCATTTGTAAAATCTTTTTAACTTCTGTAAATTCTCATACATAATTATCATCCATGTATATTAGATACAGGGCAGTCAAATGGAGTACATAACTCTCAAATCACACGTTGAAGCCTTACAAAGATCTCAAAGGTGAAAACTTTTCAAAGTGATGACATCATATTTTTTTTGTTAATTTTTTTCTATTTTAATTACAAGCACATTAATGTGATTGTACTTTATTATTCACTTAATTATTTATTTGAAATGCCAGAAATCTTATGGGGGAAGACCTTGGTCTCCTTGGTCGCAATGATTTAGATCAACTGGAGCGCCAGTTGAATGCATCACTTGCGCAAATACGATTTACAAAGGTAAGAACTTCTTATTTTTATTTAGAGAAGTCAATAATAATTGTAATAATAAGCCATTAGATTTAGTTATAAGATTATAGTAGGAGCTAGTAGTCATAGGTTTATAATGCATATCATAATATTAATCATGCAGCATGAGTAACATTGTGTCTAGTAAAATACTAATGTGTTTTATAACAACCTCTAACTCTATATATCTGCTTCCTATATAAAACCAATCATGGAATGAAAATCCTGTTTTGCTGAGTTCTTCCCATCCACACCTTAGATACATTAGAAATTAGGGATTGAAAAGGGGAGAGAAGAGCTCAGCAAAGGGAACTAATTTCATAATACTCCCTCATAGTAAGTGTATATAGTACAACAAGATATCATAAAAGCCATCGTCAACCTATTGCACATTAACATCAGTCCAATTAGATATTAAACACCACAAAACCCATGATAGACCTATGCCTAATAAAATGATTATAATCTATTTACTCAATTAAATAACCCACTATAGTCATTGCTTGTAACAAAATGCCAATTAATATTGATAAAATTCTTGTATTTGAAAACAGACCCAATATATGCATGATCAGTTGTGCGACCTTCAACAAAAGGTATACTTTCGTATAGAATTCGTTGAATTGTTTTTTTTTTTAATTTATTTTTAATGAAACTGTATACTGGTGCGTTATATGTCATTCTTTGCAGGAAATATCACTCCTTCAGGAAAATGAATCGCTAAGGAGAACAGTAAGAATTTCTTACTGAAATCAATTTGGTGAAATAGAATATTGATGTTCATTTGCAGATTTCTTTTTTATTTAGAAGATTTGCAAGCATGTATACCACTCAATTCTTTTGTATTTACCTATTAACACCTAAAGTGTAATTTTTTACATAAAAGCCACCTTAACTATGCATTTCTTAAGTTAAAATGGTAATATATTTGATGTGACATAAATGATTTGGCTCATAAAAATGTAAATGTTAAAATTTAGGTATTAGATATCAGATATGTAAATACATGAGAATAAGAGGGCATGAATGTAAATACCCTTTTTCATTTTGCATTATTTTATTTGTCACGCGTACAGATGGAGGATACGAGTCAGTTGAACGGTCAGCAGCAGGCTTGGGATCCAAACTTGTCCCAGCAATTAGCACATGATGGACAGCGGGATCAGCTGCAGGGGGATGGCTTCTATTACTCCATGGAGTATGAACCCAATCTACAAATGGGCTTTCCATAGAGATTTATTTGTTGAAGTTTAACCTTAGTTAACTTTACTGTGGATAAATAGTATGTATAAATATTATGCGGGTTTTCTTGCTTGTGGGTATGTATGTTCATAGATTGAAAATGATTTCATCATTAATATATCAGACTCAATGTTATACACTTAATGTGGTTAATTTGAGTCTTTATATTGAAACAAATGATCTATCTGATTTTGTATGATAGACTTGTTTAAGCAAAAAAATATAAATCTCACAGTTTTTGGTTTTATTAATTGTGGGGAGATGCCATGGAGATTCACTTGTTCTTGAATGTTGGTTGATTGTGATAAAAAGGAATCAAACTTCCCTATAAAGTGCAAATGGTATCCCTATTTAAACTCATTTTATGATACCTTGTAAGAAAAAAATATAGAACTAATGCGGGAAAAAGTTGGGATTAATACAATAATGTTTGAAAAGATTTCAACTCGAAAATTTGTTCAATTGGATAAAAGTTATTCATGTTTTATAGCAATATATTTCATTCATCTAGTTCGAGGCTAATCCCAATTATGCCCACTTACCTTAATAGATATTCCCTAACAAGTGGTTATAGAGCCATTGATAGTAGGTTGTTGCTCGAAAAGTTAATCGTCCAATTTATTGTTTGCTTTAACACAAACGCCGGAATTAAAAGGCTTTTTTCTATTGAACCAAAATCTCATATGAAACATGTACCCATTTATATTGTAAATTTATCAGATTTTCACGATGGACATATTAAAACTCAAGTAAAACCACGATGGACATATTAAAACTCAAGTTCACAACACAAAACTTAAACAAAAATACAAATACATATCTTAAACTCTTCCCCAAGCAATCCTATGAAGTTCCCTGACTTCCTTGACTCCAATAGACTCTTACAAGACCCACAACACTCTTATGGTAGCCGCCCACTCTAACAGGGGTCTAATCTACTCTAAAATGTCTCCACACACACACCCATTCTTGCACACACTAGCACCCCCTTTTTTGTTTAGACTTCATCCCTATATGGTAAAGCTCTGAAAATCATCAAGGGTTGCTTTAGTTACATTTTCAAAATTTGGCCAAATTCATCGAATGAAAGGGCTAACCGTTTATGGCGCCTAGACGCCTGACTGTGGCACCTAGGCACCAGTCACGTCTGGACTCTGGCGCTTAGACACCACTGCTTCATAACTCTATTTTGCATCCTTTTTCACTTCTATTCCTATAAACTTCGTTTCCTGTACCTGAAACCAACACCATGCAAAAAACATTTCATTAAAGCCCATTATCATAAAAAAATAAGCATGAAATGTATATATTAAATAGACAATTTTAAGGCATGTCAACCCTTCAAGCAAGATCTCTCACTCCATTTCGCCGATCATGAATCTATTAGTATAGGCATAAGAAATCATTTGTTAATGTAAAGCCCAGTGTCATATGAGGAATGGATGTGTCAATTTCAACTTACATGCGTTGTAAACCAATTAGGGAAGTTATTCTCGATCTCCCTACTCATGCCATCGTCTTCAACTAAGTTTAACAAATCTATGAATAAACTGTTCACACATTGAAATTACCAATCATGACATTTTTCACATAAACGAGTGAAAAATTATAATGAAAAATGTCTTACTCATTAAAGGGTCATACATTATCACAATTAAGAAGAACCCTAATTGGTGACTTTTCATTCTAAATATTTTTCACCCACATTAACATAGTGACTCAAATTCAAAGAATACCCACTCGAGAATTTTAGTGATTAAAGCCACTCACAAATTGTTCTTTACTGGGAAAAAGTCAGGGAATATTTTACTTTGGGCTTAATGAGCTTGACAACAATAGTTTCTTGGATCTCTAAGTCTCATTTTTTGCATACCTTTTTCAAATTAATTCTGACATTCATGTTATCCTTTATTTTTCCATTAAATTCATCACAGTGTTGAAGATGTCATAAAAAAATTATATGTGCATTACATCCAAATTGTGTCTGATTATGTTATCCTTTCAATAAGGCATATAAAAAAAATGACTTCTTTGTCCAATTATGGGTGACACCAAATTCGAGTGGATGATGTGAAGAAAGGTAAGGGCATAATGTAATATTTGAAATGTCACAAACAATCAACAATATATCTTCTCCAAATATTCTTGGAGGTGGCGATGATTTCACAATTTTGTTCATTATGAATGCATTCTCATCTCCGCAAACCCCATATATGATTAACCGCACACCTCGAAATATGTTTTTAGAAGGAAATATTTTATATGATGTAAGAGTTTTCACTGCATGCTCAAATGCAAAGTCTAATTTCAAATCTCATAATTGAAATTTACTTCAAAATCTAATTTGTTAGTTTCAAAATGAAAATTCACTTTGAAATCAAATTTGCATTGCCAAAATGAAATATGCAGCAATAAAAATTAGATTTTGAAGTGAATTTCTATTTTGGAACTAAAAAAATTGATTTTAAAGTGAATTTCAATTTTGGAACTAACAAAGTAGACCTTGCAATAAAGCAAATAGTGGACACTCTTATATCATATAAAATGTGTTCTTTTAAGAAAATAGTTCGAGGTGTGCAATTAACTACTTAAGGGGTTACAATGAGGAGAATGATTAGGTCAATGATTAACTTTACAGATTGAAACAAAATATGAAACAAATATATCAATGAAAGGGTTGGAGTAGCTACAGTTCCAAATAATATTAGAAAAAGACATTATAATGGATTTAAAGATCTTCAACATACCTAACATTAATATGATGTTACCAAAAGATAAAAAACTGGATACAAAATTAATTTTTGAGTGATTGACATTATTCTAGCTAGATTCACAAAGCTACCCTACATAACACATATAAAACCTTACATTTACATGAAAGGTTGTATTAAAATGCAATGTTTAATTGTTAGATATATAAATACGCAGGAATTACGTATTTCATCTCTAACAACCCTATCTATAGATGTATCATTATGCATTTTGTCTCTACCAACAACAATAACATCATCAATCATTTATCTCACTAAGTGGGGTCGCCTATAAGAATCCATTTTCTCCATCGCGTCATGATGAGTTTCATACTTTCATTTAATTCTAATATATTAAAACCATTTCTTATACTATATAGCCAAGTATTTTTAGATCAAACATCACATGAAGTCTCTCCTTTTCAAAACATGTTTGTGGATGTCCAAGTAAACTAGTTAAAAATCAAACAGACACCCCAATTAGGCTTATAATTAACTAGAGGCAAAATATAAAACAAATGTATCCATAAGAGGGTTGGTGTAGCTACAGTGGCATATAATTTTAGAGGGACACTTCTTAATAAATTTAACACCTAAAAAACTAAATCCTTCCTTTAGCCAAACACTCCTTTAGAGCAGGATTCAAGCTGGATTTAACATAAATCTTACCAAACGATCACTTTGTTCAAAATAAAAACTTAGATTTGATATATCTGGATTTCAAGTGCTCTTTGTCAATAGATAAAATTTAAGTTATTAGGATTAAGTAAATCCTGTAAACCCAAATTTATTAAATCTTAATAATCTTAAATCAAAGCCAGCGAAGTTAAATCCACATGTCTATGTGATTTATTAAATTCATGATTACAGTAAATATTTGTAAAACCCGGATTTATGAAATCCGTAGCTTTAGGTAAAATCCACTTTAAATCTTGCTTTAAATCCATTTAAAGACAACCGCTCATTGATTTGGGCTTTAAGAAGTTGGATTTGTTGAGGGGTTGTCTGATAGCATATTAGATTTAAGTTATAAGTAATTAGTAAATCTTATAGGTTCAGATTTACAAAATCCTAAATGATTTAAATTCAAAGAACTGTCTGGCAACATATCCAACACCAAAACTATAATTTCTTACGTATAAACCATAATTCTTATGTATTGTGTATCTAACATCTATACTATATTTTTATATACAAAACACATAATTCTTATGTATTACTTATGTAACACATAAACTTCAATTTTTACATAAAGGGGTTGTTTCGCGAAATGAAGGGAAAGATTTATGCAAATATTTTTTTTATCGTTTGGCAGGATTTAGCATAAATCCATCCTAAAAGCGGGTACCGAACAACTCTAACAACATAAATTTCTTTTATGTTTCTCTTTTAAAAGCCAATATTCTACACCGTAGGATATTGAGGATCTCACGACCAACTTATAAAATTTTCCTTTAAGTCTAAGTGATATTTTCTATCACACAATAGGCAGGCTGCATTCCTCTACTTCAATCAACCAACTTGAAATCTACTAATCACATCCCCCTGTATCACCATCCAGAGACACTAGATATCTAAAACATTAACACATTTTAATGATTTGATCACCCGTAGTTACAACTTTGCCACTAGCGCTACTACCACTAAAATTACATTTCTTGTATTCAATTCTAGATCTACTCGAACAAATGACTTCAGACTCCAATGTCGACATCCATGATTTAAGTTTTTCCTAAACTCTTTTAGTCTCATCTACAAGAAGGATATCACCGACAAAAAGCATACATCAAGGTACATCCTCTTGTAAATGTCTAGTAAAAGTATTCATAACTAAAGCAAAAACATATAGGCTTAAAGCTGATCCCTGATGTAATCCAACTAAAATAGGAAAATATTTGGTCAAAACTCTTTCTGGTACCTAAACCCTAAACCCAAAACACATTTTCTTAAGAAAATAAAAATGAAAATGAAAATGAAGAGGAGAAGTTACCTTCCTCAATCGCTTAGGATAGGAGAAGAGCAAAAGGAGGAGAAAAATGAAACTTTCTGATCACTGTATGTTACGTTTCCATCGATGAGTTCCAAGCTAGCTCTTGTTGTGACTCTCTTGCGAGAGTTCGATAGCAAATGAGATGCTTTTGGACGAAACAGAGAGGGAGTGGAGGGAGATGTGAGGGTTCGAGAAGGAGAGGGCTTCGAGGACAGAGGAGTAGGCGAGGGAGATGATTAGGGCAAGAGAGAGGGCTGCATTTTTGACTGTATAATATATTATTTCTGACAACTTATAAACAATTTTAAATCCGTGGGTTCTTAACACTATT